GGATAAGAGATGTTTTAAATAGTTGTAAGCCTTTAAAAAAAAGCTTAAGTGGTGTCAGTCTATAAAAAATAGATCTTAGTCAATAAAAGTGTTTTATTTTTTTAAATGATGAAATGGATAACTTTGAAGAAGATGTGAAAAGAAGAATGTTTGGAAATCAGAGAAGTCGTGCTTTCTGCTAGAAGAATACTCGAATTTGGATCTTCTTTTAAATATGTTTGTGAATGACAATGACAAAAAACCTCCCTATGTTTTGATTACTTAGAATTCAGACCCAAACGCGCACGAGAATAATTACTCTACTCCTGTTAAATCCGGCAGGCAGACTGTGCCCTGCTGTGACCTTTATTAAAAACTCGGTAGTGATCCGTCCCAACTACGGAAACCCCTACGTCATCACGGTCACACGTGGAGAGAATGTGCTTTGTAAGCACGTGCCACGTACTAAACAACAAACGTCGTTCGCCGTGTGATTAATCCGATTTTAGGGTTACCAGCAGAATCATCAGAACTGAGGAGCCAATAAGTTTAGACTGCCAAATAGTGGGGCGCTGATTGAGAACACGTGGCTTCCTGTTTAAATCGACTAATATAAACTCTATTAGTCTTGTATTCCTTGTTCCAGTACAGGAGACAATATATATATTCGGTTTCGTCCAACTCCCGGGGTAACGAGTGACATAAGGTAGTCAGTTGTCTGTCCGTGTTGAGAGAATTGAGTCACCCTTGGCCTTCTCTCAGCCGAAATTCTCTGTAGCAGTGTCAAATAAAATCATTTCTGTAAAAGAGAAAACACGTGTCTATATCGCGTGCATGACACGAGTTCAGTTTATTCGTTGAAGTCTGAATGTCAGGAAAATTACCCAATGCTGGAGATAGCACAGTACAAGAACCTATATTACTCTCCTATTGTTTGATACAAGTTACACGAACCGAGTGTTCTTTGAAACAGTATTTTTAATTTGTTTCAGAACTACGCCGCCAGGAAGTAAGAAGAGGTCGCAGTGAGGCTGATAAGTAATGAAACTGACTAGACTCAGATTCACTGAAGTTCACAAATCCTCAATCCACCTAAAAAAAAGGATATCTAAGATCATAAATCACAG